ATTTTTTTTTAAACTGAGAGGTTGATGCAAGACTGTTCTATGCCCTTTATTTTATATTTGGATATAAACGAGTGTTGTTCTGAACTTTTTTGAAACAGTATTTCTATGTACATATAACTGCAGGTCATTTGAGCCTAATGGCGATTCACAGTAATAAAATAGAATATTATAGTAGGGAATGGTTTACTAAAGGGAATTTTATGTATTGTTGAGTACGCAAGATTGACAAAGACTATATGCAGCCGCGCCATGACAAAACCAACATAATGGGTTTGCGACCAGCATGGATCCAGACCAGCCTGCGCATCCGTGCAGTCTGATCAGGATGCTCACCAACTCTATCATAAGTAGAGAAACTGATAGCGAACAGCATGGATCCTGATCAGACTGCGCTGATGTGCAGGCTGGTCTTAATCCATGCTGGTCGCAAACGCACTATGTTGGTTTTGTCATGACGCGGCTCATATATTTTTATATTGTTTTTCAAGTACCTGTAAAAAGGGGGGAAACAACTAGTGTCATGTACCCAATGAAGTTTTTAATGTACGTAAAGTATCGCTAACTTCTAACATAGGAAACCTTTTTGTTTTAATAAGAGTCTCTCAATAAGGTGTGATGTTTGTTTCACTACACTAAAATTGCTGTACATGTAATTAAAATTCTATATGGTGCTGGAATTCTAAGGATTTTTTTGTCTTTTTTTTTTCTTTACAAAAAAGTGTTACACCACAAAAAAGACAGTAGAAAAGAAAAAAAGGAATCTGTTATTGTGATAAAGAGAGGAAAGATATATGAAATTTGATTTTGAATTATTTTTTAACAGGGGGTGATAGTTTGATTATACATATATATCATATGTAAATGACGTGTTGTAACATATTGTATGTAAGTGGAAAGATCACGATTCGGGGAAATTTTTCGCTACTAACAATGAAAAAATAACTAGTAGATTTCATATAAAGCACTCTGCTTTAATAATAAACAATTAAAGCGGAAAATTTGTGTTTCGGCAAAAGGTATAAGGTTTAAAAAGAGAGAAATGTTCTGCTGTAAGCCAAAGAGGAGAGAGTATGACGTAGCAGTGGAGGAGGAAATTGATAAAGAGAGAAATAAAGATTCACATGTTGATACGGATAAAGATGGTAAAGATAATGTTAATGATATTGAATCTCCTATTGAAGTGACTGTTACTGAAGTGACAGAGTCTGAATTGAAAACCAGTCCCGAACAAAATGGCAGTGTTAAGAAAACTGAGAACCAGACTGGGGAAGGGGAAACAGGGGAGAAAGCTCAAGTGGAGGAAAAAGATTCAGAAAAGGTAGATAAAAAGAGTCCTACTTATATGTCACAAAAGAGTGAAGAAATAGGGGAAAAGAAAAATCCGAGGTATACGTCTCAAATGAGCGTAACTAGCTCTTTAAGCATACGTGAAGAAATAAATCGTAGTAGGGAACAATTTTTTTCTAATTCGTCTCTAAATGACTTTAACTTGCAGGAAGAGATAAGCAAAAGATATTCGGCAACCGAGGAAAAGTTTGCAGAACATCAACGAAAAGTTCGACAATTACGTGCACAGCGTGAACTAGAAGAAAACGTCATGTCAGCAGAACAAATGCAGCAGGCGGTCAGTCGTCTTGAGGCTGTAGCGGCAAGGCTCGAATCGTTGGCAGTCACAGGTGTGAAATCAGGCAGTCCATCAGCACCAGCTTCATCAGGCCCTGGTAATATTTTATTCTTAATTCTCATAACAGTACATTTAGCCACTGTCACTGGGTGGTTTAAGATATCCATTGCGAGGGGTCTTTTTGGTGGCTTGCTCAGATCTGATCATTTACCCCTCACTGGCAGTGCTTATAAATTCTGCTAGGTGCTTTAGTTTATTTCATATGAGGGAAAAGCTGTCTTGTCTCTTAGCAGCTTATGGAAGATCAGTGGTTCTACTAAAATGCCAAGTCTTACCTGTAATTATGCAATGGAGTAGCATCTGAGGTTTGCTTCCTTCTGTTGACTAGTAGCTGAAAAGTCGACAGTTGATATAATTATAAAAACAATACTCATTAATTAATACTGTGACACAGTGGTTTGAATTGGCTATCTTTTTGATCTTGTGTCAGGTTTCTGCATGATTTAGTACATGGTTGAGTGGTGTCTGTGGCCTAGTTGTTAAACACTGTGAGTTTGAATGTTGCCAGGGACTTTTGATTCTTTCTTGTGAGGATGTTATCTGGCTAGCTCATGGAACATCAGCGTTGTACTCAGGTGCCCCTTGCTTCGCCTGAAATAATGCCTGGAGGGACACCTGAGGTCTTTCTCCGTCAAGAACAGCAGAGAAATTGCCTTAATACTTAAACAGTATTGGCGTGACATGCATTTTACTTCTGACTTCACACCAGAATATTTTTTTTATGTAAAGAAATTGGTATTTTTTTTTTTTTAAATTGTAAAATTGTATATGATATTTGATATTGTTTTATTACTTTGTTTATTATGGCATATTATAGATGTAGCAGCCCCATTTGTAAAGGCTTTCGATGCTGTCCTGGCAGGAGAATTTGCCAAGTATATGACCCTTAGCGCTAAGATTGGTGGTGACGTTGAAACCCAGGTGAGTAGCTTTGTATAGAATATACAAACCCTATTACAAGTAGATAAACTGATAGCGAACAGCATGGATCCTGATCAGACTGCAAGGATGCGCAGGCTGGTCTGGATCCATGCTGATCGCAAACGCATTTTGTTGGTTTTGTCATGGCGCAGCTCATATTTTATTTTCTTTTATCCAAGTTAAAGAAACCTTTGATTTATTATCCATAAGGGCTTGATTGTATACTAATTTATCACCTTTTGTCTTTGACTTTTGTTGTTACAGCTTGATTGGTCACTTAAGATAATCCAATCACTTGACCAATCAAACTGGTACAACATAGGTCATGATATACATGTATACTGTTGAATCCCTACAGTATACAATACTATAACCAACAAATAGCATGGCTGAAACGTCTAGGAGGTGAAAAGATCAATGCCGAGAGGTCCAGGAGGTGAAACGTCCAGCTACCAAAGTGTACCTCACACAACTGTGCCGATGATTGACCCCCCAACCACTGATATGATATGCTTTTCCCTTGACCCCAGGGAATCTTTATCTCTCAAACCCATGAACTGTCTATTTTGCAGACTACGGGAATGGATGCTTTTCACATAGCGATTATTACCTCCCTTTGCCACCATTTTGAGTTTCATTCCCAGTATACATGTATTATATTCTTAAAATACGATAAAATCTTGTATTATTCTATCATATTCATGAAAACTGATAAGAATCTTTTACATATTGGTACTATAATTAAATTGCCCTTCCTATGTATGAAAAAAATTTGACAGTTCACCAAAATCAGCTGTTTATATTGAAGTTTTCATGTTTTGTCAATTATATAACATAGAATATTGACACCCCCCCCTCCTCCCCCACCCCTCCAAGAAAAAATGGCAAGGGAGGTAAATATTGTAAAAAACAGGAACTATCTATATGTGACTCTCAAGCCATATATTATCTCAAGAAGCAGCAGTGCATGTAAAGTCCAGGAGGTGGATTTAAGCATAATTTCATTAATTTATACAGCCACAATATGAAGAATATTTTGGGTCCAGGGATTCAAACAAATTTTTACAGCAATTTGACTGAACTATTGAGATCAGTGTTGCACTCAGAAGTTATTATAGTAAAAGTTTGCTTGTACTTGTGGGGGGGGGGGGGGGGTCGATAAGTTTGGAAAAACCCACATTTGCTGAGATAACATCTATTTAGTTATAAGGTTAAAGAGATTATGTAACAAGATAGGCTATGTTTAGAACCTTAAATAATAAAAAAATACTTGAGAAGAATAAATGTGATCGTGGCTTCTTAAAAGGTAGTTAAGTGTGAAAAAAAGCTTTTTTTTACTTGAAAAGTGATATGAATAGCAATTAAGAGACAAACAGTTTCTATGTTTTGATTCTATGCTCTGTTGAATATAAAAGTGTTTTTTCTATGTTCTGAAGTTATCCGGGAAACGATCAAAAGAGAGAGTAACACAAAACCATAAAACGCGGTCAGTCAACAATGAGAATGAATGCACTTTCTTAAAAATCAACAAAACAATGCAAGCTTGACCAACTTTTTCGACAATTCAAGTCAGAAATTTTCAAAATATTTGATTGTATCTTTTGTCCAACAATATTGACCTGGCACGTTTGAATTTGACCCTGTTGTTGGTTTTTTTAGTAAACGTTACGATCTACTTGTAAATGGATATGAATGTAAAATATGTGCAGGCTCCCCTGGCTCTATACTGGTGGCATAGGCTGATCACATTTTGTTCAAGAGGTTATTAAGGAATAAGAGGCCTTCAGCTTTTATTTCCATTGGAAAAACAATTCAGTGTTGTTTTCAAACTAAGTATTTCAGTAATTTTATCTTGGAAAAGCGCATCATATCACTGTGAAGCCTTTTTCATAACAGCGTTCCGATACTAAGCTATTTATAACTTATTTCTAATAAAAATATTGAAATGGGGGAATTGAATCGTTAGCTAGAAAATGGATGAAAGCAGCATCCTGAGAGCTATTTATAACGCATCAGTGACTTTCGTTTCTAAAAATAGAAGATCTGAAAACAAATTGTCTGCTTTACTAAATTTAATATAGAGAGCAGACCAGTAGATAGGACGTATCTAGGAGTTTCTTTATTGTTTATGTACATGATTGTATTTGGTCGTAGGCAAAATTAATTCTTCACCTCAATTATTTTAATTTGACAATTATATGAAATGATTTATCTAAAAATAACATATTTAGCCTTCAGAAAAGTTGAAGGCATCTTTAAATATATTAAGTTTGGCCATACAAGAAATGATTGGTTGGGTATCTCCTAAACTGCTGAAGGGAATGAGTTGAAAGTACACACACTTGCTCTCTTTGTTTATCTAAAGTGATGGCCACAGGTCCCATAACTCTGAGTTATGCCCCTTTTCTTACTATTAAGTACTAAGAATAGTAAAGCGCATTGCATTGTCTTACAGAAAGCTCTTGTTATCATGCAAAGTGAAATAAAATCATTCCTAAGGTAGGGGCCTTTCTGACAATTTTTATGGGGCATCCGTGGCCCAGTAGTTAAGGTTGTTGAGTTCAAACCACTTGCCTTTCACCTACTGTTGTAGGTTCGAGCGGCGCCAGAGTCTTTGGATTCTTCATGTGAGAAAGCTATCCAGCTAGCTAACGTCAGTGGTTCTACTCAGGTGACAGTTTGTGCCTAAAGTAATGCACAGAAGGGCACTTGAGGTCTTCCTCCACAGGTAAAGCTGAAAAGTCACCATGACCTATATTGTGACAGTACCACTTTAAACCAAATAAAAAAAAACAACTAAAAAGTACTGATATAATTATACAGTTTTATACCCTTTGAAACTTTTTCTTACAGTGTTTTCATTTTAGCCTGTAGCATTCTCATTTTAATGAAGGTATTTCAAAAATGATTGCTTCTACAATTGTACATTGAGCGCAAAACAGTTGTAAGTCTTGTACATGTATTTCTATATAAGTTACTGTAGTTTTGCGGTCACATAGATCTTTTAATGGTTATTATTTTAGAATCTATTTTAGTATCTTTTTAAAGAGAGCCTAATTAAAATCAAGTTTGTGAAATTTTGATTCAGATACGAACAAATCACAATAAAATTTTATTGAAAAGAGTAAATTTTGCTGTAGAATTTATATTAAATGCCCACAGGGATGTAATTTCTGGCAAATGGTTATATGGTTATATGATTTGGGTTATATAAGATGTATACACATCTGACATTGTTTTATTGCTTTTGAAAGTAAGGAAAGGGCTGCCACTTTATTACAGACTTTACGGTATATTAAGCATAATTATACATAAACCAAAAATAACTTCTTGTGCATTTTTTAATCAGCATAATTATAATAACTCTTAGAGAGTAAATAATTAATGCAACTTAATGAAAACTTTTTTATAAGGAGTCTTGAGGAACAATAAATTTGTAAAGAAACAATTACTTTTTACTGGGTTTTAGTGTGTGTTTTTTCTAGTCTTTTTTTTTACATTTATTGAATTGGTCCAAATTATAATGACTCAATCACTTAGCATGTTTTTCTTTTGTGTTAATTGAGGCTTTCGTTGCAAGCATTATGCATAGTCATTTTTCATTATTTACGAGTTACTGGTACGATTTTTATCAGTCAAGTACTTCAATGGAGACCGTTCAATACATGTAATTAGCGATGAAAAGACCGATGACAATAGATTAAATTACTTAACAAAAAAAAAACGAAAAAGAATTTTTTTTTTGTCAAGTTAAGCGGTATGAAAATATAAATAGAAAGATTTTGACAGGTGGCAATCAAAGTTGCTCATTTGCATAAAAATAATTTCGTGGGGTAAAAAGTTTGGCAAATGAAATTTGTGCTTTAAAATGAAAGTAAAATATAGTAAAAAAAGAAAAAAGAGAGACGTAAAATACTGTAATAGAGAGAGACATATGGTCGTAAAGTAAAAATAAAGAATAAAAGATGTATACAAAATGATTTTTGGTAAACTTCATTAAGAAATTCTGTAGTGACAGAAGGAAGATATGACCAGGATATTATGATGCCCATTTGAGCTTAATCGAAGGTTTAGAAAATATTCCTTGAAAACAGTTGATAATTTTTTTATTTTGGAAGTGGGGGGGGGGGGGGTAAAGAGTTAGAAATAACAAGTACTTTGTGCGGGATACATTATCTGCTAAACAAATTTCCTTGCTTTTTATATGCCCGAAACGGCATATTATGTTATACCCCCAGGCGTCCGTCCGTTAGCAATTTGGTTTCGGAGCATAACTTAAGTTCCATTTGGCCCATAATATTCAAACTTCATAGGATGATTGCCCATATTGGGTAGAAGACCCCTATTGACTTTGGGGTCAAAAGGTCAAAGGTCACGGTCACTATTACCTTAAAACTGAAAACAGTTTCTGGAGCATAACTTTAGTCTATTTGGCCCACAATATTCAAACTATATAGGATGATTGACTCCAGGGTTTCACTAGGAGATTTGTTAAAATATTTCATCAATTGTAGAGCTAAACTTAAAATCGATACATATTTAAACTTAAAGACCTGTAGTTTGAATCAAATTGCTAATAAAAAAACAGATGTTAAAATTAATGGAAATTAAAATTGCTGAGTAGATTATTCCTCTTATCTTAGCCTATTGTTGCATACATGCACATGACCATGTCATTTTACCTGAACACACACATTCATTCAATTCAATACCATCGCACAATAAAAATAGACATGTATTCACGTTTCATTCTGCTTTTAAGTGGATAAATGCTCCAATATTTATTTTTTGTATACATATTTACAGCGTATATCTATTTAAGAAGATAAAAACGAATTCCCGCCCACATGTATTGCACAATTGCGTGCATTTTGAATAGAAAAATTTAACAACAGTTTTCTATCAAATTATGTCATTTTTGATAAATCTAACATTGGCAGTCAATAACATTGACAATAAAAGATTTATTTAATGAAATTAACGAGAAAGAACCATTTATCCCCCCCCCCCCCACCTATTCTCACTGTGTCAAACATTCAATTTAGACAATTTTACCTGTTTTGTTAAAAAAAAAATGTTTATCAGCAGATAAAATTGGAGGAACAATAGATTTCAACAGTTAATTCATGAGATACCAGTAAATAAAATAATACTGTCAGATGTGTAAATCATTCTGCACAAAAGATTATTAATGAAAAGATTGAGAGAAAAAAATTCAGTAAGGTTTAATTTGAGTTAAGTAGATATGCATAGTTTGTACCATTGGATCACTTTGTACTGATTAAATTTCTTTCTGCTCATTTAAACACTTTGTTCTCATTATTATTGTCTGCATGTAAGATGGCAGAGTTGAAAGTAATTATCTTGTTTTGTTAATTCATGAAGACGATTTTGTCATTTCAGTTTATATAATTATAATAGTAAAATTGGCCTTGGAATAACAATAGAAGTAGAATTATTTGCTTGCGTGTATTTATCACATACCCGTACGGCTTCCGTAAAATTGGTATTGCATGGCTGTGCTTATATTTTGGCAAATATTTTCCTATATTTAAAGGCCCATTATGCCCCAGAACATTTGAATTTTTTCTTCTTTATTACGGGCAAGCATGAATTTTATAACGTTTTAATAATAGTTTTAGACATGTTAGATGCTTTTCACCTGCAGAAAATTCTAAACATTAGTTTGTAATAAAAAGTGGCAAAATGTAAACAAAGTAGCATTTTAACTTCTATACAAAATACTAAATCATTGCAACAGTGCTAATTGCCAAAAAGCAACAGAAGCACAACATGGTTCAGGGAATTCGGCAATGAGTAACTTTTGGGAAACTTTATTAGAGCATCAAAACTGAAAATCTTTAGAGAAATAAAATAATAGCATAATGTGGGGCATACTGGGCGTTTAAGCAAACCAATTATATAAGTGTATAACAGTGATTCTTTTCAATTTTCAAAACAAACTCTGGCTTTCTGAAGGGGAAAATATAGCGCGGTAAATCAGAAAAGAGGGGAAATCTCTGAAGTAAAATACCAACAACTAAGAATAACTAGGAGTGGAATTTACCCGCACATTTTATAAAATTTTCAATTTCATTTCAATTTAGCATGCATGGTACATTATCTAAGCAGAGGCTATCAATAGTGACTTCTAGCTGATATAAGTGAGCTGCTGGTTCTGGTGAAGCACTGCACAGGGCATTTCAGGGGAAAATATAACCTTTTTCAGGAGAAAATATATCTATTTTTGACTAGGGGTAACAGCCTGTAAAACACAGGGGAAAATCTTTGATATAGAACATACTGTACTAAGATGGCTTTATACTGTTAGTATAGATAGGTCATTATGGCTGCCAGTATTCACAGCAAATTAGAAGATAGAGGTTATTTCTTGGTTGCTGCTCACCATTATAGCGAGGAGCAGTGTGTATTCTATGCTTATGAGGGTCCAGCGGCCCTTCCAGGCAGTGTGAGTACGAACCCCTGACGAGCAGCAACCAAGTATTAACATCTTTAAGATTTCCGTTGAGTATTTTTTATTTAAATGCTGTTGTCAATGACAAACTGGGACAGCCCTCGTACCTTTACCGGAAATACGGCGTTTAGACATTGCCGCTAATCTTTGTTGTCGCCTTTTTCTAAGAAACAGACAGTTGTCAATGTAAACAAATAATCTGACATTCAGATTAACAAACTAGCGATTGATTATGTCATCAAAACTTAAAATTTTGTGTGCCAGTCATTAATTGACTACATTTCATTCAATGTTAGCAGCCATCTTGAAAGTTGATGAAAGTTGAGTATGTCATTTTGTATGTACGCTGATTCACTTACCCAATGTGGAAAAATAATGCAGAGTAGCAAAGTGGCCCAAATTGCCAAAAGTCATTGCCATAATGGCTTTGAAATGCCCTAAATTGTGTTACTATATATACTGGTAGTAACATTGGTATTAATGTATTTTTATTTTATTTTGCAGGCCAATATGGTAAAAGCTTCCTTTCAGAGTTTGAGGGATTTCCTTGTAATTGCCTCAAAAAGCAAGAAACCTGCTCAGGTAAATATGATTTAATTACGGTATTTTAACATGATATATTTATCTTAAATAAACAATTATATTTTATATTTCAATTTTGGATATTCACTGTGATAAATTTAATAATCAAAGGGAGGCTACTGAAAAATACGAAATAAATGCAAGATATTCGAAATATTGTGAAGAAGGAATGAGCCAGTTTAATCAAAGGGAGGTAACTGAGAAAAATGAAATAAATGCAAGATTTTGTTAAAGGGAGAGAACTTGAATAGATGTATTAGCTGTTATTGAGAAGAGTTGTCTTTCTTGTCATAGAGATTCCATTGTTCAAAAGGAAGTGATATTTCATTTTTGAAGATCTTTTGAGTATTGATGAAAAATAAACAAATTGAGGCTTGATTGCAAAACTGTTGTAAATCCTTCCTTATTTCATATAAGTTCCCGTCTATATGACTGAAATACTGTTGGAAAAAGGCGTAAAATGAAACAAACAAACAAACAAACATCATATAAGTTACTGTAGGTTTGCTGTCAACCCCCAAAATGTGAATGTTTAAAAGAATCAAATCTCAAAGTCAACTGCTTGAGTTTTAGAGTTTATAGAAATATGGACAAAATAAATCTAGGGCAGTTTGGGTTACTGTCGTTCTGAGAACTTAACTTGTAGGCTCCAACCCTGTGAACCTTTCTTTTAAAATATATTTTTCAAATAACCCAACAGTACCTAGAAATACTTTTTGGTACCTGGTTATATTAAAACACACACAGATTTTTCCTTTGTGTCTTGTAATATGGATAACAATATAATTTTTTTCTACAAATGAAAACAATTTTATTTTTAAAAATTGTAAATGTAATCAACTAGTTTGCTACAGTGTGCAAACACTTTTCTGATGACATAAAACCCAAAGAAGTTAAACCAGGCACTGAATAACAAATAAAGCAACAACCAAATTATGTCTTATTAAAGAAGACTGACTTGAATTCTTATTTTATGGCCTTAGGGCTCACATCCAAGCAGCAAGTGGGTGAAAGGGGAGGGAATAAAAAGGAATCTTTTAAGATTTATGTTACTAACTACATGTTTTCTCAACTCAAATGCTTGCTGATTGTAGTAATCAAGAGCAGCTTTTAATACGTAAATTGCTTTACAACATCAATTTTTGGCGTGTTAAGTTCTCAGGGGGCGGTTCAGTATTTTCAGGTACCAATTGGTACTTTTTACAAGAATGGGAACTGTCTAGTATACTAAAAGATACCCATGGGGGCCTATAGGTAGTACCAGGGATGACAATAACCCCAACAGTTAAACTAGGCAGTGAGCAAGAAACCAAGATTTAGTTTGAAAGATTTATTATTTGCAATACATGCAACAGAAGCCGTCCGGTTAGCTCAATAGGACTGTGAATCAGGCGACCCAGGTTCGATTCCCGGACGGTGCATCGGTCACTTTTGTTATGATTGATCATGAAATCTTTTCTTTGGTCTTTAGCGTTAGACCTCTGCTCTGGCATGTACAGAAGTTTCAGTTATTTGTAAAAGTGACGGCAACTTATACTGGTAAACTGCTTGACAGCCTGCCCAGGAATGATGCGGTGGTTGAACTGTGTTCTGGTTAATTCAATGTGGGTTACTGTTGTGATCCAGACTGAAAACAACACCACATCACCACCATATATGCAACAGAATACACTAAGGATGAAAGGGAATCTCTTAATTCATGAAAATTCCTTAAATTGAGACTAGACTGGCAAAATACAACATAGTCTAAGGGAGACAATCCAAACATAATTATGAATTTATTCAAAGCATAATTATTCCCCTTTGTGAAGCAGCATAATTGTCATTATAGGTACAGTATTTGAATATCTGATGGCTAGACACAAGTGCTTTTCATTTCATCAGCTGAGCAAAGTATAGTTGATGTTGAGAATAAATTAACATTAAACTAATTAAGAATGAATGAAATTTTACAAAATTTAGTAAATAGAAATCCATTTGTGATTGTCCATCTAATACTGGTATGCCTATGGAAAATTTGGTGGTAAAAAAAAGCATAATAACAATCTAAGTTCATTTTGTTTCTACCAACATTGTTTAACTATTAATTTTTTACATCTTTTTGAATGATTGCCTTCTCAAGTATCTTCACCTGAAGGCCTGTGCCATCATCATATAAACCCAAGAAACGTCTTTCATGACGTGTTAAAGATGATTTTCTGGGATTTTTTTTGGCTAATTAGATATAGCAGATATTCGGTCATATTCCCAATTGAAAATAGTATATTATTTTCCCAATTCACAGTAAAAAAATTCCCAATTGAACGTTACAAAATAAAAATATAAGCTTTTAGTTGACCACTATATTTCTTATGGCATTTAATGTAAAATCAAGATTAAAGCAACATGAATTTTAGCTGTCCAGTTAGTTCAATAGGTAGAGCATCATTGGACTGTGAATCAGGCGACTAGTACTGGTAAACTGCTTGACAGTCTGCCCAGGAACGATGCATTGACTGAACTGTGCTCTGGTAAATTCATTGTGACTTACTGTTGTGATTCGGAGTGAAAACTATCAAACACCACCACCAACATAAATTTTATAGGACTCTTTGAGTTTTTTTAAAGCTACCCCTATAAAAACTTGTCTACAGGAGCCTTAGAAAAAACTTCAAGATTTAATTGCCTGAAACAAGGGAAGGTACAGGCAATGGCAGTATTAACTTCTCAGATGCCTTTAGTGTAGGTATATTTCAAGGGAACATTTTCATCTGTTGAAATGTTTTTGCTCATGTTGCACTTTTGCAAGAAACCAAATTTTATAGTGGTTTTGCTTATCAAATAAAAAGTTGTGTTAACACTCACTCTTAAATGGTTCAATGTACCATTTATAACTGAAACATAAAATAACCATAGGGTATATAATGATAGACTCTTTATATGAAACAAAGCAATAAAGTAATATGACATATCAATAACTTCAAAGTCCTTTGGTATAGAGATTATCCTATATATTAACACTTTGGTTTATAGATTATTATCCTACATATTTACACTTTGGTTTATAGACTATTTTTACCATGGAAGACAACAACAAAATCATGAACCACTTTTTACATTTCTATGTTCTAATTACTTACATGTGGCGGAACTACTTTAACACACAAAAAAACAGTACACCCCAAAAAATTAGTCCCCTCTTCATTGTTTTCCCCGGAATATGGCTTTGCCATATGGCGGATTTAAGATCAGGAGTTATTACGATCTGCTTCTCTCAATGGCATGCTTGAAATTGCGAAAATATTAATTACTCCCAATGATCTTATAACATAATCACAATATTTGCTTTTATGACATCAGACTTTTGCATAAAACATGTTAATAATTATATGTTTTGCAATAACTATTTGGTAACTCCTTTGACTAGTGAATTGGTATCGAGATTCACGCTTTGTTTAAGTGTCTGACACAAGGATGATATGGTCGTTAAATTATATTTCCGTCGACAAATATTTGAAAGTACTTTTGTCATTAGTCAATAATGTAAGTTCCCATAGTTCCGTGCAATTGAGAAGAATGATCAGTAATTAGAAATCTGTTTGTTGCCAGACGTGCTCTCAGGAAATCGTTTTCACACCTAGAGGACATTGCTGTGCTAAAAAGATCATTCTTGACGCAAGATTATGCCTTTCTATATATTTTTTAATTCTTGAACCTATAGTCATTAGTCTTTTCCATAGAGCCAGAGCTGGTTTGCAGATTTGTGAAGTCTGTCCTTATAATGCTTGAAATTAGAGCGTATTAGCCTTTTCCACCAGAATAGAGCTAGGCCGGCCTGCACATCTGTGAAGTCTGTCCTTAAAATGCTTGAACCAAGAGTCATTAGTCTTTTCCACCAGTATGGAGCCAGGCCAGCCTGCACATCTGTGAAGACTGACCTTGTTATGCTTAAACCTAGAGTGCTTAGCTTTTTCCACCAGTATAGAACTAGGCCAGCTTTTACATTTTGTAAATTCTGACAAGGTTGTATGAGTTAGTATCTCTATTTTTGTTTTTGAAATCCTTAAAACTTTGAATGGACTGTTCAACATTCAAAGAAGGGCTGATCCATTATACAAATTCAGGGTCTTAAGCTTAGTTTACTTAGCTTAAGACTCATAATGTTACAGCAGCTGTGTAAAAAAGTATAAGAATGTCTGCCTTGTATCCAAAAGATCGCAATTATGTTCGATCCCTTTGGTTGGTTTGTTTAAGAAACTTTGGTAAAATGGTTTGGTTTACTGGTTTACACAAAAGTTATTTTACTAAGAAAATTAATAAAAATGGAACAATCAACACAGGATAAGTTTTAAGGTTGTATTTAATGATGATAACCAACATTTCAGCTCTCAGGAGTCTTACTCAGTGTTATGAAATATTATAGAATATTAAAGAATTTATTTTAGTTTGATTGTATAGTAAGCTTTATATAGCTTAGACACTCTTTTGAATCTGTTCCTGGAACCAACCAGTACTGAGCGATAAGGGCTGGCCCCTGACTATGTTCAAACCCATGCGGTAAAAGGGCTTGAGTTTTTCATGTGGCAAAAGTATCAGAAGTGTTTTTAAATGATTAATTAGCACTCGTAACAACCTTGTCCTTTATTCTTTCTGCTTTAGAGTTGGTTCATTTAACTCTTGAAATGCCCTTGACATGTGATCTTCAAGTTTGGAGAGTTCATCGCAGTACTGTCATAATTTGTTAAGTTATTGAGTTACAGGAATGAATACTCTGCGAAGCTCTCTTTTAACTGATCAATAACTTTCTCAAGGTATTTTTCAAGAATAAGACATAAAACGAGAGATGTAATTACGACATTATATATGATTACCATCGTGTCTGTCCTGAAAGAGAGGCAAGTATCTATTGCTGGTGATAGATACATACTTTCTGGTAATTAGATGCCTCCTTGCTGGTATATATGTACATACTTTTTGGTAATTTACTGAGGATGTATAAAGTCAAGCACAATATTTCTCAGGTTTTATTATTTTTCTTAGCATGGGTGCGAGATTCTTTGGGGTAATTTACTCTGATGTTTATACCCTAAGGGAGAAAAGCAATCACCGCTGATGAAATATTTGGATTTTTGTCTCGGTCCTGTTATGTAATTTATGATGAAGCTATTATGATGCTAAGTTTGTACATACAGTATGTGTAATGGGTTTGTGGCCCTTTTAGCACTCTGGGTTTGAATCTTTAAATAGCCACTGATTTACCTATTGTTTGAAAAGCCTTGCACCCAGTATACATGCAGCCATTGCAGTAGCCTTAATGGTCATCTATAGACAGTAATATTATATTAACAGGTTATAATTATGGCCCTATGCAATTGGTTGATTGAAAATATAACCAGAGCTGCTAGGCCATATATACCTTGCAGAAATATTTATAACAAATTTAGTATACAGCAATCATCTTTTTGTAGAGAAAAAAAAGAGAGAATCCTTCATTAATTGACAGCAGCCATGTATATAAGACTATATAAATGTCACGTTTTTTCAGTGAAAAGCGACGACACAGTCGTGCATATATAAAGGATAGTATTATTAATGTTAAACTGGAGTTGTATTTATATATTTTCAGAACGTCTTGTCAGAGTTGCTTAGTCCACTTTCCCAGCATATCACAGCCATTCAGGTACGTTGAATTATATGATTTTGTTTTAAGTGAGAAAGATATCCATTCAGCTTACAGAATGTCGGATATATATATATGACCTAAAACTTTTGGTGCGCCATAAAACAAAAAAGATGACATGGCAATTGCAGATAAAAAGCAAGACCAAGCTAGTTGCTTTATATGAAAAAAAAAACCAACAAAACCAGAATAGCCAAATCAGATGTATATTTTTATGCAAGAATAGCACTAAAGTAAAGCAACTTTTTTTGATGCATTTGCAGAAGCATGAGGACCTATTAAATTCCAAGCCCACAGGGCTCGATCTTTAAATGCATCTGTTTGTTTCTGCAAATGTTAAAGTGAATTGGTCTATAATGGAAGGTCTGTTATTTCCATAAAAAAATTATGTTGATAGTATTAAGTGTTGACAACAAATCACAAAATTATAATATATGGATGTTGTTGGTAAATGAAAGATCCATGATCCAATATTACATATCTACTGGTATTATATATAGCAGATAGTTAATTATTCTAGAAATTGGAATGTTATTATCCATGATATAAAATGGCCATGCAAAATCACTTAGAACTCTTGTCAACATTTTTTTTCCATAAAATATTTTTTTAATGATATCCAAATGATACATAATCGATTGTTTTTATCAAAATTTGAAATACTTAAGAAAAATGTGCATATTGTAGACCGATCCACTTTAAAGGGTATAAAGCTATATCTTATGATTTAGAAATATTTTTATGAAATTTATCAAGAGTAAAATTGTATTGCTTTCATAATCTTATGATTGATTCTCCAAAGATTTGTAATATTAAATGTCTCTGTTATTTAACACACATGATGATTGTATGTAAACATAATAAAATGTTACGGGACCAAATATTATTCTGCTATTTAAAGTAGTGTTTTATCTATTTAGCAATGATTATGTGCATGTCCCATTCATTTTTAATGTAATTTACTACTAAATCTATTTCATGCAAACATTTTGGAAGTATTCTATTTCAAAATGAAAAAAAATAAATTTGCAGCAGATATATAGCTTAACACACTTCAAGGCATGAAGTAAGGTGAATTAACCCTGTAATATTGTTTCTATATTGTTTTACAGGAATTTAGAGAGAAGAATAGGACTAGTCCTAACTTTAACCATCTATCAGGTATCTCTGAATCTATACCTGCTCTTGGATGGGTCGCTGTGGTAATTATATTTATATATGCATTTTAATTTTAGACAAAATAATAATAAAAAAAAGTTTGTTTATCTATTAATGTTTATTCCACAAAGTTTGTTTATTACCACACAATTTGTGGCCATATAATAATTAACGTTAACTTTATTATCTCCCTTTAATAAATAACGTTAATTCACTGCCAAATTGTATGGATATTGCTTAATGTCTGTAATATTATATTTATGGTATAAATTGTCAACATTGTGTTTGCCGAGAGAAATGTTACCATTTAAAGTTCCCGCATTTTTTAGTACTTTTTATACGTCATATCTTGCATGTTCTTTCAGGAGCCGACCCCAGGACCTTACGTGAAAGACATGCAAGATGCTGGTATGTTTTACACTAATAGAGTGGTCAAGGAATATAAAGAAAAGTAAGTATTCACTATGTGTATTAAAGCTTTATAGCTGCATGTTTCCAGATGGGTAAAAATATTTGGAGAAAATCAAACTTGAGAAAAATGTGCCAAGGTTTTTAAGAAAAATAAAAAGATTCAAGATTCCAGTAATAATTTTCATTGTGTCTAGGGTCTATGACTGATTAGCACTATTTTTCAACATATTTCTACTGCACTACTAACACAATAAGGGATATTTTTGGCATATTTTCACATTTTTTGGGGGGCTAATTTTCATGGATTGTAAGTGCCGTTTAAGCAGTGTGTTGTGGCTGGGTGGTTAATGAGATTGACAAATGACTAATGTGTGGAGACTGGTTTGAAAAGGTTACTGACAGATGACCAGGTTAACATTGAAATCTTTCATATGAGGGGGCTAGTCAACAAACTTACAGAAGATTGACCTTGCTACTCTGGTGCTCCCAGAATCCTTAAAGATATACTATGCTCATCTTTGAGTGAAACAATTTAATCACAGAAATTTGTTGAAATCTATGAAATTCTAACTAAATATGCCTAACTTGAATAAAAGAATGAATAAACTGGGTATGGGAAGCTGCATTCCCTAAGCTGCATTCCCTAATACGGGTCAAGTAAAGTTGGTCTTTTCTTAAAAAAACAACAAAAAAACTGCCATTTTTTTTTAATAACACTATATATTCATATTTGTGACCACCTATAGTTTGTAGAATTTTAAACATAATATATCTACTTTGTATGAAGTTAAAACCTTTTCATTTTATGTTTACAAAGAGTTGTGTAACAATTATCAATATTTTCGAATATCAAATTTGAGCATAGTATATCTTTAAAAATGCAGGGAAGGGCACATGATACCTTCCTACACCAGTTTGGCATGAATGTTGCCATATGCCCTTTTATTAAAGCAATTTGATTACAAAACCCTATTGTTTTTGTATAGCCATGATACTTAAAACCCAACAAATTAAGATAAAATGCATCAGTGGAATATCCTACGATAAGAGTTATAGTAAATGTTGCTTTTACTCGAAACAGATAAAACTGTAGCTTTTTATGCCCCCGCCATGTAATGGCCGGGGCATATAGTGTTACCCTGTTCCGTCATTCCGTCCTTCCGTCCTTCCATCCTTCCGTCCTTCCGTCCTTCCATCCTTCCGTCCTTCCGTCATTCTGTCATTCCGTCATCATCAGTTTCCGTTCATTATCTTAAGAACGGTTGCACACATTCAACTCAAATTTGACATATGGATATGTCATGAGAAAATACAGGTCAAGTTCGAATTTGGTCATGGTTCGATGATTTTTGGCAGAGTTATGCCCCTTTTACTTTGAAAATAATATGAAATTTTCAGTTTCCGTTCATTATCTCCCCAATGGTACAACACATTCAACTCAAACTTGACATATGGATATGTCATGAGAAAATACAGGTCAAGTTCGAATTTGGTCATGGTTCGATGATTTTTGGCAGAGTTATGCCCCTTTTACTTTGAAAATAATATGAAATTTTCAGTTTCCGTTCATTATCTCCCCAATGGTACAACACATTCAACTCAAACTTGACATATGGATATGTCATGAGAAAATACAGGTCAAGTTCGAATTTGGTCATGGTTCGATGATTTTTGGCAGAGTTATGCCCCTTTTACTTTGAAAATAATATAAAATTTTCAGTTTCCGTTCATTATCTCCCCAATGGTACAACACATTCAACTCAAACTTGACATATGGATATGTCATGAGAAAATACAGGTCAAGTTCAAATTTGGTCATGGTTTGATGATTTTTGGCAGAGTTATGCCCCTTTTACTTTGAAAATAATATGAAATTTTCAGTTTCCGTTTATTATCTCCCCAATGGTTCAACACATTCAACTCAAATTTGACATATGGATATGTTTTTGGAATGCCCAGGCCAAGTTTGAATTTGGTCATGGTTCAATGATTTTTGGCAGAATAATGCCCCTTTCACTTTGAAAATGATATGAAATTTACAGTTTCTGTTCATTATTTACCCAACAGTGTTACATATTCAACTTAAATTTGACATATGGATATGTCAAAGGAATGGGCAGGTCAAGTTGGAATTTGGTCATGGTTTGATGATTTTTTGGCAGAGTTATGTCCCTCTCTTTTTGAAAATAATATAGATACATCTAAGGAATAAGCAGTTTAAGTTTGAATTTGGTCGTGGTTCAATGATTATAGACAAACTTATCTTTCCTGAATGTTGGAAAAATTTTGAACTTTCAGTTTCAGCACTCATATTTTTAGCCATTATTTTGGCTACAAATATGCAATATGCTATTTTTAAAAGGTTAAGACTGAATTATTTCAGTGCCTTGAACATTGTATGAAAATGGTTAGTGTTAACATTGAAAAGTTTTAAGGGCTTTGAACTTAAAATGAAAAAAATAATTAATGCACCATCTGAAATTTTGGCTGCATGCGGGGGCATCCGTGGCATGATGACACATTTCTAGTTGTTAATTTATTACCGCTGTGCAAAAAAGCTATGAAATTCTTGTTTCATTTCGTCAAGTCAATGTCAGTCTAGCTATAAATTACGTTTATCTTGTGTGTAATCTTGCTACAAGTTTTGTGTTTTTTTGTGATCATTATGAAATATCTGATAAGATATACAGAGTGATATATATATATATATATATATATATATATATATATATCTATCTTAATGTGTAATATATGCATTAAATTGTATGTTACATTAAGTTTTATATTACAATAAAGTGCACCACTGATGTGCTGTTGTGTAAGATATAGAAGACGAAGTCCACAATTTTAACATTTTTTATGCTGTTGTGTTAGATATAGAAGACGAAGTCCACAATTTTAACATTTTTTATGCTGTTGTGTTAGATATAGAAGACGAAGTCCACAATTTTAACATTTTTTATGCACTTTATTTTTGTGTGGGTACAAGAAATTTTAACTTGCCAAAGCCAAAACAGAACTTCAATTTTTTTTTTAAATATTTCATTTAATTTATAAATTTACTAGTGGATGCTTATATTTGTTTTTGTTTATTGCATAATCACTTTATTTAACTTTGGCTTGGAATATCCTATCAAATAAAGTATATTTGTCAGTTATGAAATTTAAAAATTTCAATGAAATATAGCCAATGGTCAACAAGGATATAATGTATTACCACTTGATGTATTTTACCAACAGCACTGTGCATTGTCTATGTCATTTAGCCAAAAGAGCACATGTTTAATTTATCAGACACTAACAATACTTTATTGTTTTGTCATATAATGAACTGATATCAATGTTAAATTCAATTCTTGATACAGTACACTGTACAGTTACATGCTCACATAATTATGTAGCTATCCCCTAAGATTCTTTAATAATGTATTTCTTCTAAACTATGAGTTGAATGAATTACTATCCAAAATTCAAAGTTTGAGGTGAGAATTCCGAGGAAGGGCAGAATTAATGGAGGAAAAGCTAAATTTATATAACTTAAATTAAAATTTCATAATTTCATAATAAGTTTTTGAAAAATCAGAGTAAAATTATATTATCCTGATTGACCTGTTTGGAACAGTTAAATCTGATTTTTGTGATGCAATTTTGTGTTATTCTTGGAACTGTCTAATTCTAGAAACAATGCCAGATAGAAAACTATATCGGGGAGGAGGGGGTGGAAGCGTATATTGATGATGTCACAATTGATTGTAAACCATCAATCTTTCCAAATCTTGACATTCACTTATTACAAATTAATTTTCTCCACTATTTGGGTGGTTTCACAATTACATTTTTTTTTCCTTTCTGTTTTAAAAGCTATTTAGCTGTTATACCCTTAGCACTATATTCAAAATAAATTAGCATTCTTATTTTTAATGGCATTATTCCTCTTAACTTTGAATATAATTTTTTTTCTGTCTAAAGATTTGGATAGGTAATATTCGAGAAAATCTACTTACTGGATTGTTACAATTGTATTTTGCATTTAAGATTTAATATATTGATAGGTTTAGTAGACAGGCTAATAATGATAAAGTCCAAGAGGATCCAAGTATTGTGTTTGAGTGTGTGTTTTAAGTTTATTTATACTGGGCACCGGTAACATGTATGCCATATGTCCTAGACTATTGGCCTCTGTTACATCGGTGGTCTTAGAGCAGTTACACAAAGGACTTAGTTTAATCGCCTCTGAGTGTAGAGCCGCAACGGAGGTCTTCTCAAGCCATCTATCGTTATAGACATCTACTTCCCAGGACCAAATTCTTCCTATCCCAGAACAAAGGAAGACTTTGGTTGGAAGGCACCTCTTCAGGGAGGCAGCAGCATTATTTTTATAGCCTCACCCTTCGCTGTTAGTTAGGTCAGACCAGCAAAGTGACCTAACTAGGCCACTTGTCTGGTGTGACCTATGCACTCCGAGCGATATGCACATCGTGATGTCAGAGTGTGGTGTTTGAGCAGCCACTGCTCCCTTGTCCATTATAGATTTATTTTCACATTTACCACAGGAGCATTGTGGCAACTTGAAGACAGCTTGAGTTTGTAATGAATAATGTTCATCGGGTTGGACAGATCGACCTATATACAATTGTGTAAACAAATTGTATGAAAACAGCTTAAGCTCGAAGATCACTGTTTTGGAATGAAGATTTCGTTATCTGTCAAAATTATTGATAAAATAATTCTTTCGAAAGTGAAACGCTCGAGGTGTTTACGCACTCTACTATTTCAGGCACCTGGTTAGAAATGCCGACTTTCATGATATCTGGCTAGAAGCCTCCTTTTAGAAGACGCAAAATAATCGTCATTTACTAAAATATTAAATATATAATTATGTTATATAATTACTGGAATACAATGCTTAAGTATTTCTTAATCTTATTTAAGATGGAATGCACGATAATTAAATCAAACCGTTTTTATTTCTACGGAAACATTTCAATCAACATTGTACAAATCTCTTGTCTACGGAAAATTATAAAACATTGGCAGATGTACTAGGATTTATTTTCTGTGTTTAAACACAAAGTTTTTATGGGTAGATTTAATAGAAAAACATAAATTTTAGCACTCCAGTGCGAGTTAAATTTTTGTCATTTTGCCCTGATTATTAAGAAGAAAAAAAACAGTTAAACCAATTTTAAAACATGTAAATCCTACAATTGGAACAGACATAAAGTATCCTAAACTTTGTTATTTAATTTAAGGGGATAATGTTTAAAGGGTGATATAAAGTGTTTTATAGGCTTTAATAGCTGGCTTATTGCAGGAATAAATTATTTTGTTGGATGATGTAATTAGGAATTACCTTAGAACTTGCTTACCCAGATAATAAAAAAATTCTTTTTTGTTGAAGGTTCAAATCTCTTGAAAGAAAGTAAATATAACGATGATGTTTGTTTGTTTGTATGGTTGGTTGGTTGTTTGTTTGTTTGTTTGTTTGATTGATTGATTGGTTGTTTCTTTGATTTGTTTTGGTTAATTGATTATGTTTTGATTAAATATTGTACTGTATTTGTGTTTCCTTGGATATAGTACAATTTCTAAGTTTCTTTAAGTCTCTTTTGATAGTTTTCTATGTTTTCAAAACCTACAAGTCACTAACACAACTAAATTGACACCACCATGCTAAAACTTTATATTTTTTTCAATTTCTATATAGTCATAGCTGATACAAAATTTCAGGTTCGTAAAGCTTATACAAATTGTACTCGTGTGATTTTATGTCTCTCAACTCAAAGTGGAAATGGTCTTTAAATTGTTAAGTTACTACTGGAAAGAACTGTTCATAAACCGATGCTAACAAAAGAGGCATCCATGGTTGAAATACTGGTTGAATTGTGATCGTTTTCCGTGTGGTATATTGGTCTGGAAAGGTCATAAGGAGGATCTGCGGAACTCATTTCTTTCCGGGAGTTTTTAGTTGGTAAAACATAACAATCATTGCCCCAATGATTGATGTGTAACTGTCGATACTTTTAACGGCTTTTTCTCCTTGAGTTTTGATACAGTGAATGGCTTCACATAAAGGCAGTTTTAAAACAAAAGGCCGCTCATTTAAAAGCACTTATCACCTTTCAGAAGAAAGCACCTGCCATTTTCTCCTAGTTTTTTGAAATTGATATTTTCTCATTATTCAGTATTTGAAAACAGGTGAATGGCATTATAATAACAGTTTCAATACATTTTCTCAGTGGAAGTATATTAAAGGGATTCCACTGGTAAAGAGACTTGAAATAGTTCTTTGAGTACCATTTTATAAAGCTCTGCCCAAATGTGCAAGTCGGTATCTCCAAAACTACTAATGGGAATGGGTTGAAAGTTCACAGATTTATTAGAGAGCCTAATAGGAGGTCATAGACCAAGATCCGTAACTCAAGCTTGGATTTTGACAGAATTATGGCCTCATTCAAAAATATTTTTCAGGCTCCTGTTTTACTATCAAGTACTGAGAAGGCTGTCCTACTGACAGCTTTTGTTAATTTACACGATATAAGCATGTACTAAGGATTCTGTATTGAATGCTCAGTCATGATGTATTGATTATTAATATTTGTATGATTTATTGTCAGTTGTATGATGTATTGATAATTCAGTGATGAATTGATATTTGTGATTTATTGATTATGATGATGTTTTGATTATTGATATTTGTATGATGTATTCATATTTGTATGATTTATTTATTATTGATATTTGTATGATTTATTGATTATTGATATTTGTATGATTTCTTGATTATAGATATTTGTTTGATGTATTGATTATTGATGTTTGTATGATTTATTGCTTTTTGTATAATATATTGATTATTGATATTTGTATGATTGATTCGTTATTGTTATTTGTATGATTTATCGATAATTGATATTTGTGTCATTTCAGAGATCAGACTCATGTTGACTGGACTAAAGCATGGAATGGAACCCTGAGAGACTTGATTACCTACATAAAAGATGACCATACAACTGGGGTATCCTGGAACCCTCAGGTAACATTGTTATTTATGTTTGAGAAAAGAGGGCATCTGTGGCCAAAGGGTATAGGTCGTTGAATTTAAACCACTTGCCCCTCATTGCTGTGGATTTGAATCTTGACTGGATCCTTTCATGTGAGAAAGCTATCCAGCAAGCTGATGGAATGTGGGTGGTTCAACTCAGGTGCCTGTTTGTGCATGAAGGCACCCAAGGTCTTCCTCCACCAGTTAAGCTGCAAAATCGCCACATGACCTATACTGTGTGGTGTGATGTAAAACCTAAACTAAAAAGGAAAAAACAAGCCCTTCTTAATAATGTTGTTGTACTTTCTTTTTACCCATTCATTATCACATGTTTTAGCACCAAATCCAAGAAATATTGATGTTTAAACATTTGTTTTGCGCATAGTTACTGTAATTATTTAATAGGAATAGTTTATTTAGGTTTGTAGGTATCTTAAAGCAGCATGCCTCCAGATGAGCCAAATATTTTTTAAGAAATCAAACTTGAGTAAAATGTACTAATATTTTAAGTGAAGTAAAAGATTCAAGATTCAATTTACATGTTATATGTGATTATTGACCTATTTGCAGTATTTATCACCATATTTCTACTGTATTACTAATTTACTAACACAGGAAGAGATATTTTTGCATATTTTGACCTATATTTGGTAATTTATAAGGATTGTTAGTGCTGTTTGCAATGTGTAAATTACTTTCTTTGTTCACATCACAATATTTTACTTTTAAATTCATTTTCAACATTTTTATGAAAATTTGCATGAATCTGGGGGCATGCTCCTCTAAGGGTGATAGTTTGAATATTTGTTTTGTATGTTTTCTACTTTGATTAGGGCTAAACAGTAGCTTTCATTGGTATCATTTGATATTTAGAATTAATATTATGTACAGTAACAGAGTCAAATTCGCTTCATGCAAGGTTCAAACTTTGCAAATCCAAGATCCGCAGCCACCGAGCTCACTTGGTAGGGGGCACATGTTTCTTCTTAGTTCTACTTACTCTTTATTAGTCCCCTACCGGTTTAACCGGAGGGGACTTTAGGTTTACCCTCCGTCCGTCTGTCTGTCTGTCCGTCTGTCTGTCTGTCTGTCAGTCTGTCAGTCCGTCAGTCCGTCCGTCCACAAAACTGGATCCCGCGATAACGCAAAAAGTACTGAAAATATTTTTATGAAACTTGATATATGGATAGATGGCAGTATGGAGATTATGCACGTCTTTTTTTTTTCTTCCTATGTTGAAAATTCTGGTTGCTATGGCAACAAATAGTCTGAAAATATGGCAAATTTAACACATAAACTGGATCCAGTGATAACTCAAAAAGTACTAAAAATATTTTTATGAAACTTGAAATATGTGTAGATGGCAGTCTGGAGATTATGCACATCTTTTTCTTTTCTTCCTATGTTGAAAAATTCTGGTTGCTATGGCAACAAATAGCCTGAATTTCAAGATTTCTGATTTAAATTTTTCAGCTTTTTCACTATATGTTCTTTATTTCTTAAGGTGTTTACTTCAAACTTTAAATTTAAGTTTCTGGTCATCAACCACATCATATGTGACAAGGTTTATAACTCTAGCACAAAAAAATATCAGTATTACCTCCCTTGAACTTAGATTTTTTAGGGGAAAAAATGTTGTCTTTTTTAAATAACTTCTTTATTTCCTAATGTATCTACTTCAAACTTCATATATATGTTTCTTATTATCAATCAACATTTTTGAGAAGGTTAAATACTCTAGCAAGACTATTTCCAGAATTATGTCCCCCTTGAACTTAGATTTTTTTCGAGAAACTGGTATTTTCACTCCAACTTCTTCATTCCTTATAGGATTTACTTTAAAATCCCACATCGTAATAATATGACAAGGTTGTATAAACATAATTTCCTTACTAAGCATGGAAACTTAACACATTACTGTGATATAGACAAACTTATTTTATTATGTTTTGTGGTTGATATTTTCAAATACAGACTTCATCCTCAAATTCATTATTAATGGCAATACACAGGAGTGTATGACAATTAAAGAACTTTTTGAGGGACCAGTAGGGGACTCCTGTATTGCCCGCAATACTATCAAATGCTTGTCTATTAATGAAAGTTGTTCATTATTGAACGTTAAATATAAAAAAATACTTAGTTTCCTGTAGTTCATGTGAAATCTGCGAGCACTTGAAAATGATTTAATTTACCTACGGTTTTTATCATGCTAGTTGCATGTTAAACACTGTGCGTAAATTGCATGTAAATCGGGTGTTTTCCCATTGACACCCATACGATAAATGGAGATTATAAAACTGTTAAAACTGGGAAAAACGCACTTAAAATTAATACCTACGTTTCTTTATTTTGAGCTCTTTTTTATACCCTAAACTGCAAGCTAAGTCACTTTATAATAAAAGGAAACGTAAGATCTTCAAATTAAAGAACGTTCTTAACATGAGATCTTTATGAACTTAAGAACTTTGTGGAAAGCCATTGAACTTGAATTGCACCTTGCAGAAAAACTGTGTTGATAAAAACTTTTTCCAAGATATTTTTATTACCCAATATATCTGTAAGTTATTTATGAACAAACAAATGCATATTTCCAGCAGTCAGGAGAATAACGACATAACTCACCTAGGTTTACCAAAAATGTTAAGACGGTATTGCAGTAAATCTGCAAAGTACGATGCACTTGTAAAAAGCAATTTTCAGGCGGTGAATTCTGTATCAATTTATTACGTTTCAAGAATTTTCATCAACAAAAAGAATGTCAGGAATCGTACAATAGTCAGACAAATATTGTAACATTTTATATTTTATGCGCGCCTTCAAAAACGCCACAAGTGCCAAATCTTCGAGGTAGCATCGTAAGAATTTAAGAATGAAGGAGTCGTTTTTATCTTTTCAGTTCTTGAAAAATAGATAAATTTCATTGTAAAAGATCGACAAGAAATTGAATAACAGATAATGCAGTCTATTTGAGTTGCTAGGTAATAAATTATTCGTGAAAATGAATCAAATTTTATGGCACAGTTTCCGAATATTGAGGTTACGCTTTGTAGCTCAATGAAATGCATTTAAAAGTGATTTATTTTCTGAGTTATAGATGGATAAGTTTAGTTGTTAAGATTTTTGTTTTTGTTTTTGGTCGTTGCATTTGATCGAGCTTATTAAAAATTTTGGTTGGCAAATGACGTATGTACAAATTGTTTCATATTTTAGTCAAACAATTGTCAGTTAGTTGATTATAAGATGATGAATGTGTTCCTGTATTTTATAAAAAAAAAATGTTATTTTAAGACCAGGGTGTGGTTGCAAGAGAAAAGAAATAAATTCACGAATAATTGAAACCTGTGATTGAAAGATCATTTTTGCTGTTATTTTTATTTTCATTCTATGATACATATTCAACAATAGGCATTTTAATTAAAGGAAAATTGCCATTTTGAGCAAAATTTTACAATTACTGCTTGATAACATAATGAAACTGAAAGTCTTAACATGCATTTTTGAGTTATGGCCCTTTATTTCTTAAAATGAAAAAAAACTTTGTTAGGTTAAAATCACTGCCAGCTAGATACCATTGCTGAAGCCAGACTGAAACAGACGTTGAAACATATTGCAAATAAACATTCCTTAAGGTTTGAGCCCGTCAAGGCTTGTCAGATTCTACATAATGAGAAAGCTATCCAGCTAGCATACTGAACATCCTTGGTTCTACTCGAGTGCCCTTTATTTTGTGCCTGAAATAATGTACAGAGGGGCATCTGAGGTCTTCCTCTACCAGTAAAACCGGAAAGCCACCATATGACCTCTACTGTGTTGGTGCGACATTAAACAAAAACCAAAAACCACTAAAAAACATTATTAAAGACAACAACCCGAAATGGATAAAATGAAGCCAAAAGCAACCTAGTATAAATATATACATTCATGACAACCCTGAACAAACAATATCGATTTTAGTTAAAAGTACTGCGGTAAATAAATTATTTTATGTTTGAGAATAATTTGGGATATAAATTTAGGATTTTTTTTTATTTGCTTTTGCTTGGCAAAAAGTGAAAAAAAAAAAAATGAACTGCCAGAGAATTTAACACATCGCTATGGTTACTTGAAAAGATGGACTTAAAAAACAATTAAGATACAATACTGTTGCATTTATTTAGCCCTCAATTTTGTGAACTCGCAAAACTCTTCATTTATCAAACATTGTTTGATAACAGTGTACCTGTTAAAGTAATCAACTCACTTGCTACTGTCAGTTTTACACGCATCTGAAAATCACTCTCCCCCCCCCCCCCCTTTCCCCAAATAAATCATGCCTGCAGTAAATGTGCAAGGAGATGCAACAATGGACTGTCAGGATGAATCTTTTCCTATAGAATTGTAGTAAAATTGTTAAAGCTGTAATCCACCAGCTTCGCATGCGTTTTAAATGATTCATTCTTCCTTATTTTGAATTGATGTCTTAGTATTGAGTATATGGCAGTGCTTTTTATATGCCCGAAAGGGCATATTATGTTATACCCCCTGGCGTCCGTCCGTCTGTCTGTCCGTCCGTCCGTCCGTACGTCCGTCCGTCCGTCCGTCCGTTAGCAATTTGGTTTCCGGAGCATAACTTAAGTTCCATTTGGCCCACAATGTTCAAACTTCATAGGATGATTGCCCATATTGGGTAGAAGACCCCTATTGATTTTGGGGTCAAAAGGTCAAAGGTCAAGGTCACTATGACCTTAAAACTGAAAACAGTTTCCGGAGCATAACTTAACTTCCAATTGACCCACAATGTTCAAACTTCATAGGATGATTGTCCATATTAGGTAGAAGACCCCTATTGATTTTGGGGTCACAAGGTCAAAGGTCAAGGTCACTATGACCTTAAAACTGAAAACAGTTTCCGGAGCATAACTTAAGTTCCATTCGACCCACAATGTTCAAACTTCATAGGATGATTGTCCATATTAGGTAGAAGACCCCTATTGATTTTGGGGTCAAAA